TCGTCAGACAGAACACTAAATAAATAATAAGATGGGGTGGTCTAGCGGTTAGAACGCTGGGCTTGTAATCCTGGGGTCTCGGGTTCGATTCCTGGCGGTGCCCGAATTTATAACTTGTGTTGGGCAAGGCCGTGGTCTAGGCAACCCGGAGTTTTCCTCCGTGGCATCCCAACAATTACTCCATTCACACACAGAAGAAGGCAATGGCAAACCACTTCTGGATCATCTGCCAAGAACGTATATGAACAGGTCCCAGTCCGAGAAAAGGATCGCAGGATCCTGTTCATATGGACCTGTCGTCAGACAGAACACTAAAAAAAATAACTCGGATATGTCGTCTTCCGAACACCGAAAATATTTCCCAGTTTCGTTATACTTAACTTATTAATTCGAATTGTCATTTGTTATTGTTTGTTGTCATGACATATATTAAGGACTTTAATGTCAAGGAAATGTCAAAACTGTGATAAATTAAAGCACATTTTCTTCTTGTATTATTCCATTAAGAAATATTTGAAATCGCCACGGAACCAATGGAATTTTGTCGCTTTATCGTCGAATGATACGTTAGTCCTACATTGAATGTGATATTGGACGTTATCTTATCTCACTAATGGTGATTAAACGGAGAATCGATATTTTATGGCTTCGTATTTATGTTTGTTGTTACACGTGTTGGCACACCTGTAGACCAAAGCCGCTGCTGATAAAGTTACGTAAATATAAATTTAAAATAATAAACTATATTAGCTTCAAATTGAAATCGAAGGAATTAGATTAAGGAGGCGAGAGAAATGAAAGAAAAGGGAGCAAATAAACAGAAATCAACCGAATGAAGATGCAAAAGGAAATTAATTCAAGGGAAAAGAGAGAATCGAAGATTTAATATTTAAGCAAATGCATTAAGTGTACAGAAATATAAGGTATAAACAAACCATCTAATAAGAATGTATTTAAAGTTGGTTAGCGAAAGATAATAAATAACGAAAAAAGCAAAGGAAAAGATAAACTGACAATAGTGATCACAAATATTGTACTTTTTTTGTGTGTGTTCTGTCTGACGACAGGTCCATATGAACAGGATCCTTCCATCCTTTTCTCGGACTGGGACCTGTTCATATACGTTCTTGGCAGATGATCCAGAAGTGGTTTGCAATTGCCTTCTTCTGTGTGTGA